TGTCCCGACCTCATGTACATTTACGTTGCAAACAGTGAAAGTAATGCTAAAAAGGCCGCCTGTTGATGCTTTGAGGTGTCATCAATTGTTATTTTATCCAAATAAAGTAAATATTATTTTGTAAATTTAGACACGGGCTTTCAGGTCGTATGCATTTTAGTCATTAAATTAACAAGAACGCTAGATTATACGTGTTACTAAGGTATCAAATTGAAATAAAATAACGAAATTAAATATTAACACGTTAATGATAAATGACTATCCGCTCTCAGTATTAATGACTATCTGCTACTCAGAATAATTAAAACTGCCTGAACTACATGTGAAGAATCTTTCTATAGAACCCCTTGAATGGTCTAATTCACTACCGTCCTCAAAAACTGATCATTCAAAATGTTTTATTCAAATTCACAAAAATACAGTTGACTAACATACTAGAAAAGGTATCCACCTATAACACGATGACACGCAGTTTAAATAACAGTTAACTGTTTTTTTATTACATATCAATGTAACATTTTCGAAAGGAAACCTACTGTACGTTGATAGATTTACTGAAATGTATCGTGTATTGCATTCGTGTTTTGCTTCACTGCGCCCACTATTATCTATCTTTGCCTATAGTGGTTTTTTGCCAACAATATTCTACACACTGCTTGATGAATCAATTCTATGTCTGGTAGAACACTAGAAATAAATGTAAAATGTATTTTACGTTCAGAAATATGGAATTAAACCCACGTCCTCCATTTGCAACTAAGCTGTACCCTGTTTCCCTTTTAAACATGGTCACGTGGTAGGGTAGTGTGACACCCTATACTCACTTGGGTTTGCATCAGGGCTATTATCTTGGCGATCATCAGGCAATATCAGTTCAGGAACATTTTACAAATTATGCTTATTTCTCATGGCACACCACATGTTTAAGTGAGACTCTGGTGACATATTTTATTCAAGTAAAAGTGTATAATTCATGATCAATGGCTAGATAACAACCTCAAGTTTCATTTGGTATGCAAATTATGATTTAATATCAAAAATTAAAAAAGTTCTAGCATTTTGAAAAAAAGTGGCGTTTATTTTGGCCCACCCTGTATTAGCAAAATTAATAAAATGACCCATACTTTAATCCCATTAAAGTACCATGTTGACATTTTGGATATAAACTCATTATCAACTTAAAAGGAAGGTCTAAGAATGATAATCACAAGCTGACTCAGACTTATCAAAACCTTTTTTATGAAATAAACTTTCATATCATTTGGAATATAAGTTTATCAATAAATAAAAATATAGGGGTTGAGTTTTAATGGGGTTGAGTTTTACTGGGTTGACTTGACTTGGGGTTGAGATGACCAGGAAGCTTTCATCAACAGTAATGTTACACAAAAATATCAAATTTTATAATGAACTTTTATTATTGAACATAACAAATATTAACAATGTTTTATAAAAATAACATGAAAAAGATACAATTTATGATAAATATTTTACAAGATGAGAATATACATTTTATAATACAGACATTTGAACCCTAAGAAGTAAGTCTTTCTTAGTTTAGATTTTTATCATTCTCAATCAAGTAAATATGTACTGCTGTATACCCACTGCTACAAAGTAGGTTTATGTATAATTATTTTATATTATTTATTCTATAGGCCTAATACATTTTTGTAAGTTTTTATCTATAAATACATTTTTTGTAAAACTATGTTAAATAGTAAAAAATAAGATAATTTACAGAATAAGTGAATAAGATAATATTAGAAAACAAATATAAATAGGCATCTTGTATATGAAGAGAGCATTTGAAGTAATGTCCTTGCAAGCTTTTAAATATAGACTAGAGATAATCAGAGTGTAACTTTCTAAGCAATTGTCACCGTTTATCCTTTTTTCCAGCTTCAACATTTGACACTCTTGCTGCCATTTAATTAGGCCTATTAGCATGTCCAAGAGGGGGAAGAACCCAGAATTCAAAGTTGACATGGAGGTTCATATTTGACTACTGGGTTATTCCCCTCTTCATATTATATATAATACTTCATTACATGAAAGATAGTAGGCCTAGGATGAGTTGTGCAGATTCCCATACTACAATGCTGAAATACCTAAATGACATCAAAACAAACCAGAACAACGGCAACGCCAAAGCGTAGCGAATCCCATCGAACATTTTTCAAAAGGGGGACCTTCTACCAAAAGTGTCATTAGACAGTGTGCCATGCTTATAATATTCACATACCAAATATGAACAAAATCGCTCTGCTACTTTTCGAGTTATAGTAAAATACGTTAAAATAGTGGCCATTTTGAAAAATGGCCGCTTTCTACTAAAAGTCTCATTAGACAGTGTGCCATGCTTATACGTATTCACATACCAAATATGAACAAAATCGCTCCGCTACTTTTCGAGTTATAGTAAAATACGTTAAAATGGTGGCCATTTTGAAAAATGGCCGCCTTTTACCAAAAGTGTCATTAGACAGTGTGCCATGCTTATACGTATTCACGTACCAAATATGAACAAAATCGCTCCACTACTTTTCGAGTTATAGTAAAATAAGTTAAAATGGCAGCCATTTTTCAAAATGTCCACCATTTTTCAAAATGGCCGCCTTCTACCAAAAGTGTCATTAGACAGTGTGCCATGCTTACAGTATTCACATACAGAATATGAACAAAATCGCTCCACTACTTTTCGAGTTAAAGTAAAATACGTTAAAATGGCGGCCATTTTGAAAAATGACCGCCCTCTACCAAGAGTGTCATTAGACAGTGTGCCATGCTTATACGTATTCACATACCAAATATGAACAAAATCGCTCCACTACTTTTCGAGTTTTAGTAAAATAACTTAAAATGGCGGCCATTTTTCAAAATGTCCGCCATTTTTCAAAATGGCCACCTTCTACCAAAAGTGTCATTAGACAGTGTGCCATGCTTATAGTATTCACATACCAAATATGAACAAAATCGCTCCACTACTTTTCGAGTTACAGCAAAAATCGTAAAATAACGAGAAAAGGGCGCCATTTTTCAAGATGGCTGCCATGTGCTTTTTTAATGTCTACATTTCTAGCTTTATTAATGTCCTATATAATTTTTTTTACATTTAAAACATATTGCTATTACAGTTTTACATAGTGCACCTAAATTACTGTAAAATCGGCACTAAAATGGCCGCCATTTTTAAATGAGTGGCCATTTTGAAAATCGGCTTTCGAGCAGAACTTCTACCCCCATAGGGTATATGTATACAAAATATGAATAAAATCGGGCCAACGGTATTTGAGTTATTGCCTGGACGGACGGACGGACGTACGGACGGACGGACGGACGTACGTACGGACGGACGGACGGACGGACGGAGGCGTTCCCTATATCCCTCCGAACTTCGTTCGATGGGATAATCATTCATATACGAGATAAAATATATCATGTATCACTGTATGGATAATAATTATAGGTACATTTGTATAACACACATAATATCAATGGTCAGTATCAGGAAAAGGAAGCAGCCATTACCTTCTCTTTCAAAATGGTGGAAAGTAAGTTTTGATTTCAATATGTTTTGTTTCCATTAAATTAATTTAGTTTGCAGTTGACATTTGGCTTAGAAATTGTGTCCATATCAAGCTTGTGTGATATAAAAATTCTGGAATCTGATAAATAATTCCTATATAATGTGTGGACACTGGACACCTCAGTTCAATGATATATTGTACCTCTTAGGGTAGGGTAACATCAATTGCATGATACAATAATGTGTACTATTCAAGTAGATTTTACAATAAAATATGTATGTTTTCAAGGAGCAACTTATGCTAAATTTTGCATTCTTCCTGGTAGATCCAAGTAGATGTACAATATATATGCAGCATTTTCCTAAGTACATGTACAATAAATTATGCAATTTTTAAGAAGATTTACAATTAAGTATGCAATTTTCCAAGTAGACTTACAATATATTACACTTTTTTCAAAACAGATTTACAATGACATACACATAAATATGAATTTACAATAAATTATCCACTTCTTTCAAAGAGATTTACAATAGGGTATGCACCTTTCTCAGTATATTTACAATAAATCATGCATTTTTTCTAAATAGATTAACAATAAGGTATGCAATTTAGTTAGATTTATAAAATATGCATTTTTTCGTATTTTACAATTCTTCAAGTAGTCTCACAAAAAGTAGATTTTCGAGTAAACTATGAATAAAATTTTGAATATGAAAATTTTGAGTACAGTTGCAATAGGTTGCTATTTTCCAGTAAATTACAAAAAAAAATTTATTCTCTGAACTATATTTATTTGTTCAGCGTCTATTGAAATGTATATTGAATAAACATAGTTCAAGAAAAATAAATTGTTTTGTTTAGTTAAAAACACAGGTCAAAGATTCATTGGATAATTACTAATGTAGACTGCTCTAACTAATATCTGTACTGTAGAGTCCACATGGAACTCCTCTGAATTTACTTCTAATATAGACTGTTCTAACTCTGATCTGAACTGTAGAGTCCACATGGATCTCCTCTGAATTTACTTCTAATATAGACTGTTCTAACTCTGATCTGTACTGTAGAGTCCCCATGGATCTCCTCTGAATTTACTTCTAATATAGACTGTTCTAACTCTGATCTGTACTGTAGAGTCCACATGGAACTCCTTGAATTTACTTCTAATATAGACTGTTCTAACTCTGATCTGTACTGTAGAGTCCACATGGATCTCCTCTGAATTTACTTCTAATATAGACTGTTCTAACTCTGATCTGTACTGTAGAGTCCCCATGGATCTCCTCTGAATTTACTTCTAATATAGACTGTTCTAATTCTGATCTGTACTGTATGAGTCCACATGGATCTCCTCTGAATTTACTTCTAATATAGACTGTTCTAATGCTGATCTGTACTATATGAGTCCACATGGATCTCCTCTGAATTTACTTCTAATATAGACTGTTCTAATTCTGATCTGTACCATATGAGTCCACATGGATCTCCTCCGAGTTTACCTCTGATGTAGAGTTGATTGCAAGTTCAAAACTGTCACACTGAGGAGAGGCTACTGCAGAGACATCTAACTGAAAAATAAAATCATGACAAGAATATATTTTTTGCTTTATCGTTTCCATAGAATAAATGTATATTTTCTCATTACATGCCTTCTGAGTCTCTACTATTATGTATGTATGAATGTAATGGAACCAAACCATAAAAACTTTTTTCGCAAACAACATTCTATTAGATGTAACTTACAGATGTATTATTGGATGGCGGTGAGTTGATTGGTGTGCTGGTGAAGGTTCTAACACGTCTTATACCTAGGCACTGTGCTACAGCTAAAAAACAAAACACATGTATTTTATATACTATAAGAAAATAAACAAATATCCCGTCTTGTTGTATCATGCATGTTGTCAACTATATTGCTTTTTGTGCTTTCTTTTTCTACGTAATGAGTAAAAGACAACTGAATAACCATCATGATAAACCATGCCATATCATTTTCAGGCTTATTCAGTAAACTCAATCATACACATTAGAATTAATCATACCAAAGCTGTATTTCTATACTTTGATTGTTTATCCCTAATAATAATTTAATTGAGTACCTCTACTGTGTCCATGTGTTATTCCAGATTGGTGAGATTCCGTGTCTGGAGCTACATCAGGGAAAAGATGTGTGGAACATTTTATTGGCATTTTCTTTTGTAGTCGTCTTCGCTTCTGTGGCCTCCTTGTAAGCAAATAAATCATGTTACATGGGATCAGATCAAATCAGTTTAAAAAACGTGACAAATGTTTTTGAGTGTGATAATATGTTTGGCTACTAAGGGTCCATCTATATTCATTTTCTTGTCCATTTTGTCAAGAATAGGTGTCATGGTATTGAAAAGATAAGATTAAGATCTCAAGCAATGCAATTAACAACCTTCTGCAATAAAACAATCATAATATTGCAATGTTTACAGTAGAGATTGTTGAAATTATTAAAAGGACACTATTTTGAAAATTCTCTCCATAAGGCATAGTGACAAATGGACATACGGACAGACAGGGGTATTCTCTATACCCCTCTCATAGGATAATCATGGGTACCTGGAATCCAATGTGCTGATGTGTCTCACTGGAGATCTTTCTGCAACAGCTGTAATAGACACACATGGAAGTCAATTTCTGTTAAGAAGGCAGATGGGGAATATTTGAGCATTTTGCTGCTGTTACTGCAATTTTACAACAAAAATAGTACCATATTTTAGACTGGTCATCACACGGGAGAATATATATTATTATATCATTGAGGTTCATGTTACTTTACTTATTATCAGAAAACTGGAGCCTAATCAGTTCATATAATCTAAATATCTCTTTGAAATGTTCTCTAGTCATATGGATTATCAAAAACTTAAGATATCTCACCCCTAATTTTCACCAATTCATCCTGTGGATTGTCGACATCATCACTGTCTTCTGTATCTGCATCGTCTGCATTGTCACTACTTGATGACACTTCTTCAATGTCCTCATTTATGGTTGGATCTTCATCCTTGTCACTGACATCATTATCTGAGTTATTATCAAGGTTATAATCATTGACTACATTATCTCTTTGTGCCGATTTCTTGTCCTCAAGAGCAGCTATTTCATCATTGAGCATGAAGCGATTGATTGGTGACCTGTCATTGCAATTGGCATCTTCAAATGAATGTTCTACTATGGTTTCAAGATCTGGTAGGAAACTAAGAGATTTTACAGATTTTTCAAATGTTGGAATCTGAATATCATATTTGCTGTCTTTTCTACTTAGTTCAACACTGCTCTCGGATGAAGAAGGCTCATCCTCATCTTCTTGTTCTTCTGGGTCTTTGCTGGGAGAATCTTTCACTGAATCTTCACAAGTATTGTTTAAATCATTTGTACTGACATTGTTCTTTTCTTTACAGCTTGTATCTTCAGCCTCATATTTGTTCTCATTCACTGGAGTTGAGATGCCAACAGTCTCCCACACAGACTCACTCTCATTTAGTTTTACATCATAAATAGCATCATTATCTGATATTTTTCTGTCTCTTGTTTCAGGTTGACCATCATCATTAGCTTTGCAGTTCCAGTGAAATATTTTCCAGTTTATTAGTCCCTTGAGACTTATATTGTCAGGAGAGACATCGGGTCTTTGTAAATCTGCAGCAATTTTCTCAACTGATTTTGTCATATGTTCGATACTTGAATCTTTATTTTGTTTAAACTTTTGAGTTTGTTTTTCAGTGATTGAATAAATTGTTGACATATTCAAGAGTTGGTCATTTTGAATTATAACTGTTTTGTGACCATCTATTTTGGTAGAGCATAATGGTTCTTCCTTGTTCAGAGAAAGGGCTTTGCAATCCTTGCTCTCAAAATCATCATATCTTACTGAATGTTCTTTGTGGATGAGCTTGTCTGTTGCCTTTTGTGTTATATTGTAGATTGTTGACAATTCCTCCAGTTTATCCTCATCATATGTGTCATATATTTTGGTAGAACACTTTGGCTTGCTATTCACAATACATGAAGATTGATAGTCATTGTCTTCACTATTTTTGTTGTTCTGTTGTATTCCAATATCATCCTTTTGAATGTGGGATATTTCTTGAAACTCGTGAAAGTTGTTATCTACCATTGTTGAGCACTTTAGTCCACATTCTTTCAAACCATTTGCCCTGTTCTCTTTCTTCAATTGTGCTTTCAAATGATTTCCATTTTTTGTGTTGGAAGTTCCCTTTTCGTCATGAATAGATGACAATTCAAAATTGTGTGCAACAGTAGGATGACTTGATTGGATCATGGTAGAACATTTGGGAGTGCTCTTTAAATTGTCAATGCATTCAGCACCCTTTAATCCTCCCCTATCATTATCTTGTATCAGTTCTGGAGAGTTCAGCTGAGTTTTTTGTCTAACTACTGTAACATGTTCTCCACTTGGTATTCTCAAGTCATTATCTGCCTTTTTCCAAGGTGCCTCAGTCTCATTGGAATGGTGTAAATTTTTATTTTCAAGTATAGTGTCATCATATATAGAAGACAATTCAATGCTTTTGCAGTGTATATTAAGACCATTTGCTTCTGGTTGTATCATCGTGGAGCATTTATGAATGGCCATATATCTGTTACTTGGTTTTTTCTGATTATCAGTTTTCCCTTTAATCACTGTACATTCTGCTATGGGAGATATTTTTAATTGTTCTTCAACTTCATCAATATTTCTTGCAAACTTGGTATGCATCACTGTAGAGTTTTTAGGTCCATATTTTTCAAGCATGTCAATTGTGTTTGTGAACACTGAATATGGTGTTTCGCTGTAGATGTTTGGTGATGGCTCCTCATTATTCTTCTCACTTTGAGTGATTGCTGTTTGAGTGTTTTTGATCCCTGACATACATGTTTTGCTACCTTCAACTTTATTGTTGTTAACATCAGTAGCATTTGAATCAGTTTTCTTGTTTGTTAGATGAAATACTTTATTTTCTGATATTTTTTGCCTTGTGTTGCTGATATTTTGAATTGGAGATAATGTTTGAATGTCCACACCCAGTTCAACTGAGCTACTATTATTTATTGAATATAACTTTGTTGAGTGTTTTGGGTTGAGATTTCTCTTATTATTTGGATCATATTGTTTTTCATTCACTTGTACTGCAAGGGGGCTAGCTGCATCTGTTTGGGACTCAATATCCATGTGTTTAGAAGTTATTGAAATCTGATGGTTCGAATGGCTCAATTTTGATCCCCTTTTTGTAGAATTGTCTAATTTTCTCTTCTCCACTTCACTTTGAGCAGAACCATCATTTTCATGAGGGGCAATGACATTGGTATCACTGGTTGTGCTGTTTATTAATCTGCTTTCATCTTGTATATCAGACACATCACAGTTTTGCTGTTTGCCTATATCAATCTGTTGAAGATTTTGGGTTCCCTTATGAGCTATTGTGGTTCCAGTTTTTCCTTGTGTGGTAATAACAACTGATAAAGCATCATCATTAGTATTGATCATTGCGTTATTTGGGGATCTGCTTTCAACAGTATTTATACTAGAGACATCACAATTATGATCAAGATTGTGTGCATTTATCACACTTCTATGTATTGCCGTTGAATTCTTTGGACAAGGCTTTTGTGTAGTTGTTTCTTTTGTACTAGATAATGAGGTAACACTTGGTGTACCAACCATATGTTTATTGGTTATTTCACCTTTTGAGATTTCTTTTTCAACATTTATAGATGACATTTCTGCTCTATCAACATCCTCAATATTCAAAGCACCATTTGTGGGATTCACAGTTGAATTCTTTGGTCCACACTCCACTGATACGCTAGATGAATCAGTTATTTGTACATGGAATGGTTTCTTCTTCTTTTTGCTTATGACTCGGACATCAAGCTCGATGTTTGTTCTTTCCTCTATTCCACTATTAGAGGTTTCAGAGCTGATATCATATACTTTATGTTTTCGTCTCAGCATGCCAAGTTTTGAAGGAGGTAATGTTTGGAATGTTATCAGTTCATTATCACTACTTGATGAGGAGTCTATGCTTACTGTTTTCTTTGACTTTTTCCTCGATTTCTCTACTTCCTTCTTAATGTTCGATTTATGAGATTTTATCTTTTCTTCCTGAGATTTCTGATTTGATGTTTTGCTCATTTTTGAGAAAAGTCTAGGTCCTTGAATAGAAAGGACAAAATCTGAGCATTTTCTTTTGTTTCTTTTATTTATGGAAGAAACACATCTTTGAAAAACATTGGGACCTTTTTGTTCAATTTTTTCAGTCTCAGTGTACTTTGCCAATTTGGAACAAATTATAGGTACATTGGGATGGGTTTCTTGAGTTTGCCTTTTCATACTGTACTTCCTTGGATAAGGATGAACATCACCAGGTGTATTTTGCAGTATAGCCATGAAGCTATCCTCAGTTCCATTACCTTCTAAACTCAATTTGCTTGGTTTTTGCTTGTCTTTATCAACAGTATTTCCAAGAATATGTTGCGACACTTTTTCTGCATTGATGGATCTTTTGCTCCGTTTCATTGTTTTACGAATATTTTTTTCAGTATTTTGATTCATTTTCTGATTTGTTGTATTCCACTTAATAAGGCATCTTGAATTTTTCACTGCTTGGTTTGAGTTCTTTTGGAATCCACTGATTAGTTCTTTATCCAGTGAATTCCTGGTTTGCCTTGTGTAATCTTTGGTTGTTTTATTAGGGATTGGGGTTCTTAATTTTCCTTTGGCCAATATCTCCTTGCTTTGCCTTGTGTCATCATCTGCGGTTGTATTTGGAATCAAGGTTCTTAACTTTTCTTTGGCCAATATATTCTTGGTTTGATTTGTATTATCTTTGGTTGTATTTAGGATTGCAGGTCTGAGGTTTCCTTTAGTAAATAGATTCTGAGTAGTAAATAGGACTGAAGATTTTGATTTGTCCTTAGAAAATGAATTTTGGGTTTTCCTTGTGCGATCTTTAGTTCCAGTATCTAGGGTTGGAGATTCATCTTTGGAGATTGAGCCTTGTGCTACTATCCTATCATCCTTGATTGCAGGACTCAAATAACTTACTTCCTTTATATCATCTTTGGATAGAAATGAAGTTTTTGATCTGTCTTTGGTATATGAATTCAATGAATTTTGAACTGCACTTTGTTTTGTTATAGTATCTACCATTAAACATCTTGGTTTGCATTGATTTGATTCAAAAATTGTTTTATCCTCCTTATATACATTAGATGACAATTCAAGCTCATCAGAAGCCACTCCTTGCTTATTTTGTCTCTTTTGTGCTAATCTTATACTGTCCACGTGTTTCCATGTATCGCCTGATGCATGTGCAGATTTTTGATTTGCAGGACATATTTCCCCACCATGGTCAATTATCTTGTTTTGTTGGTCAACCTCTATTGTTTCTTTCTGTGCGGGGAATTTATTGTCTGAACCAAGAAAAATATAAATTTGATGGTTTGTTTTTGTTAAAGTTGTTCAAGCAGATTTTGTACATTTCAATCCAGAGTTTTATATTTCAATTTTATGAATGAGGAATCAATTACAATCAGTAAATATGGTGTACTACTTCGATCATGTTGGAGCAGTGGCCAGATATTGTAAATTACACAAGAAAAATTACTTGTTTTACTAAGAACTCTGTTGTCTACTATATTCTGCATGCCTGAATATACAAGTATATTGAGGGCATTAACCAGACTTCATGATACATTGAATTTGCTTGGCAGTATCATGGCTACAGCAAAGAAATATGTGCATGAGCAAACATGATGTATATGATTTCCTCTCTACAATGACCTATACATAAACGTATACTTACATTCAATACTTGACAGCTCAAAAAAGTCAGTTACATCATTAGCTTGTTTTGCAAAGCCTCCGTCCAAGAGAGTTGAATTCTTGATGAGTCTTGGTTCCACAAGTGGACTAAGAGTGAGACTGCCACACAAGCTCACGTCTGTAAAATTAACACAATGTTAATATTTTTGACATGTTGACTTTTTATATGACTTTCTTAAAAATTTCCTCCCAAAAAACAAATTAATGTTGAGAATGCCCATATCAAAATGAAATTGTACACTATTCAACTGCAGACATGTATAAATAAAGTGGGTTATGTATGCTTTACCTTTACAGGGAGAGGCGAGTTTTTCCACATTGTCTATCAGAGGCAGATAATGGTCTGCAAAAAATCAATAGAGTATTAAAATTGCAGTATTCTCATTACACATGTTTTCATTTAATGTCAAACATTAATTCATATTTAATCTTAACCCTAGAAGTCAAAAGGAGTCAAAATGACTCCCCCTCCCCCAGGTTAAGTTTTTCCTGTGAAACCTTTTATAGACATCAGGTAAGATCTTCAAATTCTCAGTAGCCTGAGCTACAGATATTTCACATGTAATCCCTCGGTAAATACAGTATTTTCCTCAGATATACCCTGTATCAAAAACCTCCCATTAAATAACCTCTATATATTTGATACTGATATAATATATCAATAAACATTAAGATTTACAAAACAAGATGACATACCTGTCTGTATCTGTGCACGTCTACATTGTTCTATTGGACTAAAGGAATCACGATATGCAAACTGGCGCTGCTTTTTTGGACTTAACAAAGTACAGTTATCAACTTTCTCTTCTATTGGACTATTAACTATGTCACTTAGATGTGTAGGTTGTTCTACTGCATGTCTTGGCTGTTCAATTGGACTTGCTTTATCTCTGTCATGTCTTGGCTGTTCGATTGGACTCAACGCACAACCTGCTAAGAAGCAATGTTCTGAATAAAATAATAATGTACAGGGTGTTCCATAATGACCATCCCCCCATCCATCCATTACATTGCTATAGATAATAGTGTATGGAGACATGGTTATTATAGCTGTTTGCAGGACACGTGGATAATTTTGGAGAAAAAGTAGATATCAGATTCTATGCTTAAGGTAAAATGGGTACCTTTTGTAAAGCGATGTAGCAAGTTGTAAAGACTGTTGAGCTTATTCAAAGATGTTTTAATTAGTCCAGAATTGAACAAGCTTTCATATGATATATAACATGCTGGTACGCTATTTGTGATTGGTGGTTGATGGGGGACGGTCATAATGAAACACCCTGTATATTGTTTCAATATTGGAATATTACTTGTGTCTTTAATGTTTACAACATCAATGCAATAATGAATACAAAAATATTCTGTAGTCATGTGAATGAAAACTGAGCTAAAATAAGGACCTACCCCTAGACTTTTGTTCTGCAGTATCCTCATCACTGGCCATAAATGTCTTCATATCAGCTGACTCATTACCCAGACTCCTCTCTGCTTGTAACAGTGCATGCATCATAATATCCTCAAAGTTCTCAGGATTTCCGGCTTCTTTTGTTGTATATCTTTTAGGGCATGTCATCTTTGATGCACTGAAAACTGGTTGCCTTGTTTGTTTTTTGTCATTTATTTCAATAACACATTCAGGTTGGGTTTGTGTAGGTTTAGGTTTTGTAGCTCTTACTAAATGTATGTTTTGTTGAGGTTTGATGGTGGATTTAGTCTTCTGAAATGGAAGAGTTCCTCAAATGGCATTTATCATTGAGAGACAAATTTAAATGCAAATGAAAGAAATGACGAAAATGAAACCTTGAAATTTAATTTACTGACCAAATGATCAGCATAAAGGAACATACACAATTGGAAGGTAAATGTACTAGAAACTATTGTATTAGACACTATTGATCATACCTTATACACTAAATACTGTGACTTTAAAATTGTAACAAGTTTACAGTATTTAACTCACTTTAAACAAGGCATTAACATGAAAAATGTACCACCTAGTTGCTTACAATATCATTAGTTCAATGTGAAGTCACATTTAGAACTGTAGATGATTTTGAAAAATGGTCAATTTAAAGCAAGTTTTTTGACCCTGAAAGAAGGTCATTGAAGGTGAAATCTCAAATCAGATTTAAAACTTCTGAGAACTTGTAGATGATTTTATACATATATTTCTTTATTGCGACCAATTCTGATCACATACATAAAGTTTAATATAAAAGGTTATGAAGAAAAAACATACACATACAGATATAACAAAATACAGTTGTGTAGTGCAGGACGTTTAGAGTATTGAGAAATCTAGTTCTCAGTTGGTATATATGATACACCATCCTGGCTATTATAATACAATCATAATATTCATTTGGGGCAAAAATATTTTCAATTACATTTAGGTCACTTCCACCTAAGTAAGGTCGTATAGGATCTCTAAATGTTTCTAGCACATTACAAAATTTAATGAAATGTAACAATGATTCATGCGAATTACACATTTTGAAAAAAAATTGGTCAATATGCAGCAAGCTGAAAAAGACCTTTTTGACCTTGAGAAGGTCATTGAAGGTCAAATCTTTTTTAACCTGGAGAATGTCATTGAAGGTCAAATATATAGTCAGATTTGAACTTTTGAGAACTTGTAAATGATTTTGAAAAGTAAATAAAGTTGAAAAAAGACTTTTTTGACCTTTTTTGACCTTGAAATGGTCATTGAAGGTCAAATCTTGAATGTAAAAGTCATATTTGAACTTCTGATAACTTGGACATCATTTTGAAAAAAATGGTCAATTTGAAGCAAGTTCAAAAAAGACATTTTTGACCTTTTTAGACCTTGAAAAGGTCATTGAAGGTCAAATCTTAAATGTAAAGTCAGATACTGTCTAAACAGTATTTGTTAAGTTATTAGAAGTTTTAAGAATTTTTTACAGATGCCAACCGCCGCCTGCCAATCGCCACTTCTTGGTGGTGACATAATGATACCACATTTATTTATTAATCCATGATGTCATGTGCATACAGGGATTAGCATCCATCCTATTTTGCTCTTTGAACCATGCATGTGTGCAAGAATCATGTTGGATTTTTGCAGAAAGAATATATATGTATTATTATGGCACATTACTGATAAAAATAAGATGTGAGATTAACATCAAATGAACCACACACATACATGGAGCTTATAAATAGAAATGCATCTAATCATTCCATTCTCAGCTAAGACCAAGATCATGTTCAGATTCCATAATATTGACAGAATTTGACTTCATGTTAATGGAATTTACACAACCTTATATGAGTATTTAATTGTGAAAAGTAAAGAGGTGATATTCTGCCCACACACTGATTACATATGGGTAACAAGGTATATGAACTTTAAGAATTAAATATTAGCCTACCTTTTTCTTGACAGTTTTTGTCTTATTTTGACATCCATTAGTCTGTTTGGGAAATGTTGACAAAAGTTTCTTGTTTCCTTGATCCTCAACATCTGGTAAGGTGGTGGACATACTTGTTAACTTAGCATGGTAGTAATTCCTGAAATGGTAAAATAATCAAAGGCACACAGCAAACAATATTGTATCAAAATGACTCCTTATAAAGTTAAACTCCCCAAAAACTGAACGAGTCCAAGGTTTTAATACCACAAATAATTCCTGGAAATTTCAAAGCAATCAAATGAGCATTCTATCTTCAAATGCACAGACAAGAATAGTAAGACAATGATACCCACCCACAAAAGCGGACAACAAAAGGTACAATAAAAAAGGTAAAGTACGACTAAATTATTTTTGAAATCAAGCAAATACAATCGACAACAATGCAATTGTGAGTTAAATCAGTGCATGTATTGATTATGATCATTTTAATATTGAAACATCATCCAGATGCCACAATATGTGCAACTGAATATCCCCTAAAATATAGTTTTTCAACATTAAACATTTAATCATATTCAAGAACACACCTCAATGTATGCTTCCATGTTTTACTGCAAGCCTCTTTTGGACTTTTGGACCTTTCTTCACTCCTAGTCTCCATGGCAACTCATCTGCAACATTTGATAAACCTGTAAAAACAAAAAACTGGGTAAAATGTTAAAAAATATGTCCATGAGCATTGGAGCCACTGGCTAACTTGAGGGGCTGGTCCATTTGAAATGAATTCATTTAAAATGAGGGCTTACCAAGTTCTTTCACAATCCAAAGAAAGTATTTGACTATTGCAGATAAAAGGAGGCAAAAGCCAGTTTGCTTTCTATAGGACTATTGCAGATAAAAGAAGGCAACAGCCAGTTTGCTTTCTATAGGACTATTGCAGATAAAAGGAGGCAAAAGCCAGTTTGCTTTCTATAGGACTATTGCAGATAAAAGAAGGCAACAGCCAGTTTGCTTTCTATAGGACTATTGCAGATAAAAGGAGGCAAAAGCCAGTTTGCTTTCTATAGGATTATTGCAGATAAAAGAAGGCAACAGCCAGTTTGCTTTCTATAGGACTATTGCAGATAAAAGGAGGCAAAAGCCAGTTTGCTTTCTATAGGACTATTGCAGATAAAAGGAGGCAAAAGCCAGTTTGCTTTCTATAGGACTATTGCAGATAAAAGAAGGCAACAGCCAGTTTGCTTTCTATAGGACTATTGCAGATAAAAGGAGGCAAAAGCCAGTTTGCTTTCTATAGGACTATTGCAGATAAAAGAAAGCAACAGCCAGTTTGCTTTCTATAGGACTATTGCAGATAAAAGGAGGCAAAAGCCAGTTTGCTTTCTATAGGACTATTGCAGATAAAAGGAGGCAAAAGTCAGTTTGCTTTCTATAGGACTATTGCAGATAAAAGAAGGCAACAGCCAGTTTGCTTTCTATAGGACTATTGCAGATAAAAGAAGGCAACAGCCAGTTTGCTTTCTATAGGACTATTGCAGATAAAAGGAGGCAAAAGCCAGTTTGCTTTCTATAGGACTATTGCAGATAAAAGAAGGCAACAGCCAGTTTGCGTTCTATAGGACTATTGCAGATAAAAGGAGGCACCAGCCAGTTTGCGTTCTATAGGACTATTGCAGATAAAAGGAGGCACCAGCCAGTTTGCATTCTATAGAACTATTGCATATAAAAGGAGGCACCAGCAAGTTTGCGTTCTATAGGACTATTGCAGATAAAAGAAGGCAAAAGCCAGTTTGCCTTCTATAGAACTATTGCAGATAAAAGAAGGCAACAGCCAGTTTGCTTTCTATAGGACTATTGCAGATAAAAGGAGGCAAAAGCCAGTTTGCTTTCTATAGGACTATTGCAGATAAAAGAAGGCAACAGCCAGTTTGCTTTCTATAGGACTATTGCAGATAAAAGAAGGCAACAGCCAGTTTGCTTTCTATAGGACTATTGCAGATAAAAGGAGGCAAAAGCCAGTTTGCTTTCTATAGGACTATTGCAGATAAAAGGAGGCACCAGCCAGTTTGCATTCTATAGAACTATTGCAGATAAAAGGAGGCACCAGCCAGTTTGCGTTCTATAGGACTATTGCAGATAAAAGGAGGCACCAGCCAGTTTGCATTCTATAGAACTATTGCAGATAAAAGGAGGCAAAAGCCAGTTTGCTTTCTATAAGACTAAGACTATTGCAGATAAAAGAAGGCAACAGCCAGTTTGCTTTCTATAGGACTATTGCAGATAAAAGGAGGCAAAAGCCAGTTTGCTTTCTATAGGACTATTGCAGATAAAAGGAGGCAAAAGCCAGTTTGCTTTCTATAGGACTATTGCAGATAAAAGAAGGCAACAGCCAGTTTGCTTTCTATAGGACTATTGCAGATAAAAGAAGGCAACAGCCAGTTTGCTTTCTATAGGACTATTGCAGATAAAAGGAGGCAAAAGCCAGTTTGCTTTCTATAGGACTATTGCAGATAAAAGAAGGCAACAGCCAGTTTGCGTTCTATAGGACTATTGCAGATAAAAGGAGGCACCAGCCAGTTTGCGTTCTATAGGACTATTGCAGATAAAAGGAGGCACCAGCCAGTTTGCATTCTATAGAACTATTGCATATAAAAGGAGGCACCAGCAAGTTTGCGTTCTATAGGACTATTGCAGATAAAAGAAGGCAAAAGCCAGTTTGCTTTCTATAGAACTATTGCAGATAAAAGAAGGCAACAGCCAGTTTGCTTTCTATTGGACTATTGCAGATAAAAGGAGGCAAAAGCCAGTTTGCTTTCTATAGGACTATTGCAGATAAAAGAAGGCAACAGCCAGTTTGCTTTCTATAGGACTATTGCAGATAAAAGAAGGCAACAGCCAGTTTGCTTTCTATAGGACTATTGCAGATAAAAGGAGGCAAAAGCCAGTTTGCTTTCTATAGGACTATTGCAGATAAAAGAAGGCAACAGCCAGTTTGCGTTCTATAGGACTATTGCAGATAAAAGGAGGCACCAGCCAGTTTGCGTTCTATAGGACTATTGCAGATAAAAGAGATAAAAGGAGGCAAAAGCCAGTTTGCTTTCTTTAGGACTATTGCAGATAAAAGAAGGCAACAGCCAGTTTGCTTTCTATAGGACTATTGCAGATAAAAGAAGGCAACAGCCAGTTTGCTTTCTATAGGACTATTGCAGATAAAAGGAGGCAAAAGCCAGTTTGCTTTCTATAGGACTATTGCAGATAAAAGAAGGCAACAGCCAGTTTGCGTTCTATAGGACTATTGCAGATAAAAGGAGGCACCAGCCAGTTTGCGTTCTATAGGACTATTGCAGATAAAAGGAGGCACCAGCCAGTTTGCATTCTATAGAACTATTGCATATAAAAGGAGGCACCAGCAAGTTTGCGTTCTATAGGACTATTGCAGATAAAAGAAGGCAAAAGCCAGTTTGCTTTCTATAGAACTATTGCAGATAAAAGAAGGCAACAGCCAGTTTGCTTTCTATAGGACTATTGGAGATAAAAGAAGGCAACAGCCAGTTTGCGTTCTATAGGACTATTGCAGATAAAAGAAGGCAACAGCCAATTTGCATTCTGTAGGACTATTGCAGATAAAAGGAGGCAACAGCCAGTTTGTGTTCTATAGGACTATTGCAGATAAAAGAAGGCAACAGCCAGTTTGCATTCTATAGGACTATTACAGATAAAAGAAGGCAAAAGCCAGTTTGCATTCTATAGGACTATTACAGATAAAAGAAGGCAAAAGCCAGTTTGCTTTCTATAGAACTATTGCAGATAAAAGGAGGCAAAAGCCAGTTTGCTTTCTATAGGACTATTGCAGATAAAAGAAGGCAACAGCCAGTTTGCGTTCTATAGGACTATTGCAGATAAAAGGAGGCAAAAGCCAGTTTGCATTCTATAGGACTATTGCAGATAAAAGAAGGCAACAGCCAGTTTGCATTCTATAGGACTATTACAGATAAAAGAAGGCAAAAGCCAGTTTGCTTTCTATAGAACTATTGCAGATAAAAGGAGGCAAAAGCCAGTTTGCTTTCTATAGGACTATTGCAGATAAAAGAAGGCAACAGCCAGTTTGCGTTCTATAGGACTATTGCAGATAAAAGGAGGCACCAGCCAGTTTGCGTTCTATAGGACTATTGCAGATAAAAGGAGGCACCAGCCAGTTTGCATTCTATAGAACTATTGCATATAAAAGGAGGCACCAGCAAGTTTGCGTTCTATAGGACTATTGCAGATAAAAGAAGGCAAAAGCCAGTTTGCTTTCTATAGAACTATTGCAGATAAAAGAAGGCAACAGCCAGTTTGCATTCTATAGGACTATTGCAGATAAAAGAAGGCAACAGCCAGTTTGCTTTCTATAGGACTATTGCAGATAAAAGAAGGCAACAGCCAGTTTGCTTTCTATAGGACTATTGCAGATAAAAGGAGGCACCAGCCAGTTTGTGTTCTATAGGACTATTGCAGATAAAAGGAGGCACCAGCCAGTTTGCATTCTATAGTACTATTGCAGATAAAAGAAGGCAACAGCCAGTTTTCATTCTGTAGGACTATTGCAGATAAAAGAAGGCAACAGCCAGTTTGCGTTCTATAGGACTATTGCAGATAAAAGGAGGCACCAGCCAGTTTGTGTTCTATAGGACTATTGCAGATAAAAGGAGGCACCAGCCAGTTTGCATTCTATAGGACTATTGCAGATAAAAGAAGGCAAAAGCCAGTTTGCTTTCTATAGGACTATTGGAGATAAAAGAAGGCAACAGCCAGTTTGCGTTCTATAGGACTATTGCAGATAAAAGAAGGCGACAGCCAATTTGCATTCTGTAGGACTATTGCAGATAAAAGGAGGCAACAGCCAGTTTGTGTTCTATAGGACTATTGCAGATAAAAGAAGGCAACAGCCAGTCTGTGTTCTATAGGACTATTGCAGATAAAAGAAGGCAACAGCCAGTCTGTGTTCTATAGGACTATTGCAGATAAAAGAAGGCAACAGCCAGTTTGAATTCTATAGGACTATTGCAGATAAAAGAAGGCAACAGCCAGTTTGCATTCTATAGGACTATTGCAGATAAAAGGAGGCACCAGCCAGTTTGTGTTCTATAGGACTATTGCAGATAAAAGGAGGCACCAACCAGTTTCCATTCTATAGGACTATTGCAGACAAAAGAAGGCAAAAGCCAGTTTGCTTTCTATAGGACTATTGGAGATAAAAGAAGGCAACAGCCAGTTTGCGTTCTATAGGACTATTGCAGATAAAAGAAGGCAACAGCCAGTTTGCGTTCTATAGGACTATTGTAGATAAAAGGAGGCACCAGCCAGTTTGTGTTCTATAGGACTATTGCAGATAAAAGGAGGCACCAGCCAGTTTCCATTCTATAGGACTATTGCAGATAAAAGAAGGCAAAAGCCAGTTTGCTTTCTAAAGGACTATTGGAGATAAAAGAAGGCAACAGCCAGTTTGCGTTCTATAGGACTATTGCAGATAAAAGAAGGCAATAGCCAATTTGCATTCTGTAGGACTATTTCAGATAAAAGGAGGCACCAGCCAGTTTGTGTTCTATAGGACTATTACAGATAAAAGAAGGCAACAGCCAGTTTGTGTTCTATAGGACTATTGCAGATAAAAGAAGGCAACAGCCAGTTTGTGTTCTATAGGACTATTGCAGATAAAAGAAGGC